CTGTCTCTTCTCAGTTTACCAACACTACTGTGTTGTAGAAGTTAACTACATGGAATGTTTAATTTATCTGATATGTTTTATTCATCCTTACTTAACTCAATATATTGTCTATAGTTAATATAATGACTGATGTCAGTTTAAAGACCTTTGGTTTAATAAAGATTTTTCTTATCCATTTGAATTGAAACAGCCCTTTGTAAAGTCACATAAGAATAGTATGAGATGGTGCAAGGTTTTTTCGTAATCATTTTTATTGCACAAAAGACGGGGTCAACGGAGCCACCAGAATAACAAGAAGAAGACTTCTACAAAAATGCATATGAACAACGTTTATTAGCCGCTCACTTCTTTTTGACGAACTTCTTTCGGGCAGCGTTGGGATTGGCCCTTCGTCTGCCGCCTCCACCCCGACCATCTCTGATTTGCAGGTTGGCTGCTCGGCTGTAGATGTCATTTTCACAGAAGGGTGATCCCTTAGCCAAGTAATCTGGGTTAAAGACATCATTCGTTTGCCGAGCCTTTTGAGACAACCGTTGCTGTGGGCAGGGTTGGTCCTCCACCAGCTGTGGATTGTTAGCATGTTTCCCGCCTTGTGGCTGAGGCAGTGAGTACTAAAACACAGGACACAGATGACTTAGGACTCCATTGAACATTTGTATTTGTTCTTTGAATATTATCGAAGACGACCCTACAGGAAGGTAGTTGATGTTTTAAACATGTTTCTTTTAGAGGTGACGTGATTTATTGAAGTGGTTCATGAAAGCAAATTTTGAGCCAAAAGGTCATTTTCTTTTTAACTGTTTTCATCTACAGCACTCGTCAACATTGTGCACACAATGACAGACAACTACTAAAAGAGAGTGAGTGACATCACAGAAAGACAGAAGCAGGAATATTATGTTTAGAAACTGTGCAGTTCCTAGGTGTGGTGTTCGTTTCAGGCAGCCCATCTTACCCTCAGTCCCCTTGGGTTCAGTACTTTTGGATTGGTAGAGAAATGCATCTTCATATTGCCATCTTCACAGATCGTCACTGCCACCTTCTTCAAAGTCTTGTTTCCGCAATGTTGACAAAACACCTTGTTCATATTGCTCGTTGTTCTGGTACCACATGTCAGAGGGAACAAGAACAATAGCTGAAGGCTTCAGTTCTAAAGAAAAATATTTCAATGAACTCAAGAGGCCGTTTTAGGCCAAACTCACTTAAAGCAGGCGTGACATCTCAGGATGTAGTTCCTTGCCTGTTTGATGATCATTCCATTAACAGAGAGCACGTGGAGTCCGATCTGAATGAGAACATTCTGGAAAGAGAAAAATACAGTTTCTGT